ACGTACGGATAGGCGTGTACATCTATATATGTTTACAACCCGCGCTCTCAAAGTTAGCTTCCATATTTTTGTTTAAAAAAATATATAATCAAATCTACCACAACTCCACAACCAACCTAGGAAATCCCTATAATCTTGATATAAAACCCTTTTACAAACTACCTCCTGTCATACAAGGACGATAATGACACCCTCCCCCCCCCCTTTCCAGGTCTACGCCGCGGGGGGGTCCGACGACTACTCCTGGGGCACGGAGTTCACGAGACACTGGACCCACTACTCCCACACGCACTCCTGCACTCGCCAAGTCCATGAGGTGAGTCCGAGGGGGGATGGGGAGAAGGGGAAGGGAGGAGGGGAGGTAATCAGCTGATTCTCTCGTTCATTTGGAAAACCCAAGAGTAACCCGAGCTACGGTATTTTAATAAGAGACGGAATAGATGAATGAATTGATGAACCAAGCTACGGTATTTAAAAAAAACGAAATAGATGAATGAATTAGTGAATAAACTGTAGGTACAACGAACGGGGTAGATAAACAAACGAATGAGATAGCGGTACAGTAAGGAAATACCAGGATGCACAGTGTCAAGCCCTATGCAAGCCAGAGAACAAACCCCGTCTTTAACAACTCTACAAGTCTATAAAAATCTCGGGGCTTGCCAAGAGAAGACGAAAAAAAAGTCCATCAGATTTCCGAGGCAGCACGTGCCATCTGCCAGAGGATCCCAGCGAGAAGTCTGAACATTTTACTTTCTTTTGTTATCTGGTCTCTCCTTCTCACGCGCTCTCCCGCTAATAGAGAGAACCATAAACACACGCCCCATACCCATTAGCTTTGTCTATAGCCTTTACAAACCCACAATACCCCCTCCAGCTTAAATCCGAAACATTAATATACCTTAACTCTCTCTCTTTGTTGCAACTCCTCAAACTAGAGAAGTCCCCCCTCCACGCGAGCCGTCCCCCCCCCCTCCACCTTTCCACAGAAAACGACGGAAGTGGTCCTCTTGGTGAGGCCCAAGTAGCTTTAATTAGCGCGCGACCTCTCAGCTCACTCGCATCCAAATGAACAGCTCTTGGCTTCTTGTTCTTATATCATTTTATCTGGCATTCTGGTGTGTCTCACGTCTGTGTCGCTAGGTGTTGGGGTGTATCAAGCGCGTCCTCTGGGTGCGTTTTCTCTTTTCTTTGTATTTTGGATGTTGGATATTTTACGTTTATTTGATTCTTTTTAAAATATATATATATACGTTTGATGATAACTGCTTATGTCTTGAAGAGAGTCTAGCTTTCTTGTTTGCCTTGTATATATTTGTTTGAATAAAGACTATAAAAGTTTAGGATAAAGATGGGTAGAGTGGGAGATGCTCGAAAACGAAATTTAAAAAATAGAAGAACACCCCAGAAAAAAATGAAAAAGAAAAAGAGAGAAAAAAACAGAGAGTGGGTGAGTGAGTGGTCGAGAGTTAACAAAATGAGAGAGTGAGAGAGAAAGAGAGAGGGAGAGGGAGAGAGACAGATAGACAGACAGACAGACAGAGAGAGAGACAGAGAGAGAGAGACAGATAGACAGACAGACAGACAGAGAGAGAGACAGAGAGAGGAGGGGGAATAGGGAAAGAATGAGAGATGGAGCGAAAGAGATAAAGAGGAAGAAGGGCGGGAGGACAAGGGATAGAGAGGAGGGAATGGGGATACAAGAGAGTGAAAGAGGGAGGTAAGGAGAAAGCAATAAGGAGGAAATAGAAGGAAAAGAAAGAGATCGAAACAAAGGTGAGGAGGCAGGTAACAAGAGAAGAGAGAGAGACAGACAGACAGACAGAGACAGAGAGGGAGAGAGAGAGAGAAAGAGGGTTAAGAAAAACAGACGAAATAAAATAGGAGAGAGGGTTTAAGGGGAGAAAGAGAGAAAGAGAGAGATACTGAGACTGAGGCAGAGACAGAGATAGAAAGAGAGACAGAGGCAGAAACAGAGACAGTGACAGAGAGAAACAGAGACAGAAAAGCAAAGACAGACAGAAAAACAAAGACAGATATAGAGACAGAAAAAAAGCAAAGACAGAGACAGAAAAAAAACAAAGACAGAGACAGAAAAACAAAAAAGACAGATATAGAGACAGAAAAAAAACAAAGACAGAGACAGACAGACAGACCAAAAAAGACAGCTCCAGAGCTCACTGAACCTCACGCCCTTCTTCTACCCGCCCCCCCAGACGTCCCTGAGCGCCGTCCACCTCTCCACGCCCGCCTCCTTCGACGGCTCCGGCGGGGAACTGCGAAAGACCATCTTCGGAGCGCCGTGTGACGTGTCCCCGCCCTTCTCCTGGCGGGAACTCCACCACAGCTACTTCGGCTGCCAGAACACGCCCACCGCGATCTGGCTTCGTTCTGGGGCTTCGAACTTCTCGCCTCCAGACTTGAGGGATATTACTGACGAGTTCTTCCCTCCGCAGATGGGGGAGACCTCCGCTAGCGAGCAGTGAGGGAGGGGAGGAGGGAGGGAAGGTGGAAGGGAAGGAGGGAGGGNCTCTCTCTCTGCTCTCTCTCTCTCTCTCTCTCTCTCTCTCTCTCTCTCTCCTCTCTCTCTCTCTCTCTCTCTCTCTCCTCTCTCTCTCCTTCTCTTCTTCTCTGTCTGTTTGTGTTTCCCTCTTTTCTCTTCTGTATGTCTGTTTTTTCTTTCACTCTCTGTTGCCTTTCTTTTTGCATCTGTTGCTCGTCTCTCTCTCTCTCTCTCTCTCTCTCTCTCTCTCTCTCTCTCTCTCTCTCTCTCTCTCTCTCTCTCTCTCTCTCTCTCTCTCTCTCTCTCCTCTCTCTCTCTCTCTCTCTCTCTCCCCCCTCTCTCTCTCTCTCCTCCCCTCTCTCCTCTGCCTCTCCCTCTCTCCCTCTGCCTCTCCCTCCCCTTTTCTCTTCCTCCCCTTCTCTCTTCCCTCCCTTTCTCCTCATCCTCCCTCCCTCTCTTCCTTTCTCCATATATGTTAAATTATTGGACTGGCTTTAAATTTTCCAATAATGTTGCATACATCTTTGCTAGATGTTGATTTAGTCTTGTTGAATTTCCTGGGATTCTGTGGCACTTACCTTTCGCTCTCGAGATTATTTGGGAAGGAAACTTATATTTTTTATTGCGGTTTTATGGCTTTTATTTTGTTATTGTTAATGTGTTTTGCTGTTTGTGTTTTATCATGTTCTTCCTCGGTAATTTCGTTATTGTATGTTTATTTCTTCGCTACTCTTATACTCTTTTTCTCTTTCTCGGTGTCTTGTCTCGTCTTTCTTTGCTTCTTCAATTCTTCCTTTTCTTCTCCTTTCTTTTTTCTTCCTCTTCTATTTCTCCTTCTCCTCCTACTTCTTCTTTTTCTCCCTATTTCTTCTTCTTCTTCTCTTTCTTCTTCTTCTTCTTCTTCTATTCCACCTCCTCCTCTCCTTCTTCTTTTTTCTTTTATCCATATTCTTATTCGTCCTCCTCTTCCTCTTCCCTTTCCATCCCCAACCTCCTTTCCCTTACCCTATCGTCGCCACGGCCTCAGCCACCACAGATTTTTTTATTAGGATGAATAAAAAATCGCAATTAGCGTAATCACTGAGGATGTCTACTTCCCGTCACAGATTAGGTACGCAAGCAAAAACAACAACAACAGCAAGAAAGAAACGCTGCGAATGATGCCATAAAACACCGTAAAAAAGAGAGAGGGAAGGAGGGTGGGAAGAAAGGAGGAGGAGGGAGGGGTGGAGAGAGAGAGAGGGAAGAGAGGGTAAGAGAGAGAGAGAGGAAATGAAGGGAGAGAGAGAGAGAGGAGAGAGAGAGAGAGAGAGAGAGGAGAGAGAGAGGAGAGAGAGAGAGGAGAGAGAAGAGAGAGAGAGAGGAGAGAGAGAGAGAGAGAGAGAGAGGAGAGAGAGAGAGGAGAGAGGGAAAAAAAAAAAAACAAACGACCCCTCCCCCCAAAAAAAAAGATAATAGATAAACAAAAAATAAAAAACTGCATACATATTAAAAAAAGGAAAAAAAACAAAAAAAGAAAATAGAAAGATAAGAAAAGAAAAATGGCACGTGTTTGCGCGTGCTCTCCTCCCCGGCGCCCCCAAAGAAGAGCGGCGGGCGATGGCGGCGGCGGCGCGCGCTCGTCTTTTGTCTGTCCGTTTGAAGTCGCTGGCCAAAAGGAGAGGAAGTCGGAATTTGCAATGGACGCCCGCGCGGGAATTGGGGGAGGGAGGGGGTGATGGGGGTGATGGGGATGGGAGGGAGGGAGGGGATGGTGGTGGGAGGGAGGGGATGGGTGGGTAGGGAGGGGTAGGGGTGTTGGGTTTTGATGGGGGAGGAGGGAGGGGTGGGGAGTTTTTTTGGTTTGTTTATTTTTTCTTATTGGTCATTTTCTTCATGGTTATTATTAACATTATCGTCATCGGCATCATCACCACCACCATCATCATCACCATCATCATCATAATCTTTCATCTTCAACATAACCGCCATCACCACACAACGACAACGACAACACAACAACAACAACAACAACAACAACAAACAGCAACAGCAACAACACATCAACAACAACAACAAACAACAACAACGACAACGACCCTAACAGCAATTCAAACACCTAACCCATTGAGAGATAAAGAAAAAAAGCACCAAAAATACGCTTTCAAAAACGAACAAAAGCCCCCCACCCCACCCCCTAAAAAAAAAAGAGAGAAGAGAGAGAGAGAGAGAGAGAGAGAGAGAGAGAGAGAGAGAGGAGAGAGAGAGAGAGAGAGAGAGAGAGAGAGAGAGAGAGAGAGAGAGAGAGAGAGACAGAAAAGAGAGACAGAAGAGAAGAGACAGAGAGACAGAGACAGAGACAGAGAAGAGAGAAGAGAAGAAAGAAAAAGAAAGAAAGAAAAGAAAGAAAGAAAGATAAAGACAGAAGAGAAAGAGACAGAGAGAGAGAGCGCCGCGATCCCTTCCGCCTGCAGACAAGCTCTCAAAAGGAGCCATAGTTTTTCGTCGCCTCTTGTCGTCGTTATTGATTATTGAGCCAAAAGACACTTCTTAAAGGAATGTGTTTAATGGCGCTTCCGTGTTGCAATGCGCTTGCAGGTCGGTGGAGAGGAGAGGAGAAGGGAGGGGGGTGGGGAGGTGGGTGGAGGGGAGGGGGGTGGAAGGAGAGGAGGGGGGGAGTGGGGAGATGGAGGTGAGAGAGGAGGAGGAGGAGGTGGGAGGGAAAGATGGGCGAAAGTGGAAAGGAGGTGGAGGAGGAGGTAGGAATGGAGAAGAGGTGGGGAGGAAGGAATGAGGGTGGAGGAGGTGGGGCGGGGTTAAGTAGAAGTGAAGCGGACGTGGAGTTGGAGAAGAGGAGGGAGATGGAGGTGGAGGTGAAAGTGAAGGTGGTGGAGGAGCAGGGGCAGTGGTCTAAGAAGACGAAAAAATGAAAAAAAAATGTAAAGGAATGACGAAGAACGAAGATAAACACGAGCTTAAAAAAGAAGAAAAAGAAACGGGAAAGGAAAGCGATCGAGAAATAGAAGTGAAAGAAGAACATGCATTATAAACAATTCTTAAACGATAAGAACACGAGATAAAAAAAAGAAAAAAAGAAAAACGTGTCCGAATGTTCTGTTCTGGCTTCATCTTCCACATTATTAGCGTTCGTATTTGACCAAAAGAAGTCCCGAGAAATGGCCCGGTTGCCTTCGGGTCTTTTAATACCCCCCCCCCCCCCCCCCCCGGATTTCATTCCTCGGAGACTCGGAAAAGCGGAGCTCAATTTTGACCTTTTCCTCGGGTCATTTGCTCCGCCAAAAGGTCACAGGGAGTCGAGATACGCCACATAAAGGGCGGCGCGGGCGTGCGTCTCGCCCACCAAATGTTGCATGAAAGTAGGTCTCTCTCTCTCTCTCTCTCGTGCGATCGAGGGAGGCCAGGGGCGAGAGGGCGAATCTGCGGGGAATTCCTTTGGACTCTGTCTTGGGGTCCCGGCTTGTTTTGCTTTTTCCTTTTTGGCTCTCTTTGGGTGGCGTCTGGTTGGTTGTCCGTCTGGGGTCTGTCTTTCTGTTCTTTGTCTTTTATCTGTCCTTTTGGTTTCCTTTCTGTTTCTCTCTGTCTGTTTCTGTTTTCTCTCTCTCTCTGTCTTTCTCTCTCTTTCTCTCTTTCTTCTTCTCGCTCTCTCTCTCTCTCTCTCTTCTCTCTCTCTCTCTCTCTCTCTCTCTCTCTCTCTCTCTCTCTCTCTCTCTCTCTCTCTCTCTCTCTCTCTCTCTCTCTCTCTCTCTCTCTCTCTCTCTCTCTCTCTCTCTCTCTCTCTCTCTCTCTCTCTCTCTCTCTCTCTCTCTCTCTCTTCTCTCTCTCTCTCTCCCTCTCTCTCTCTCTCCTCCCTCCCTCTCCTCCCCCCTCCCTCCCTCTCCCTTCCTCTCTCTCTCTCCTCTCCCTCTCTCTCTCTTCTCTCTCTCTCCCTCTTCTCTCTCCCACTTTCCCCTCTTCTCCCCTCCTTTTCCCTCCTCCATCCTTCCTCACTCGCACTCTCTTCCCATCTCCTCGTCTTCGATTCTCTCCCTCCCCTTTTTCGGGGGAAAAAAAACCCGCGAAGGTAAATTCCCACGCTTATCCTCTTCAGCACCATTGAGCCTAAGATAACAGCGCTGAGGGAACGATAAGAGCAGCACGCGGGCGTTTTATTTCCGTTTTGCCTTTGTTTGCTCGCGTGGATTCTGGGGCGGTCTGCTGCTGCTTTTTTCTCTCTCTTCGTTTTCTTGGGTTTTTCTCTGTTTCTTTTCTTCTTTGCTTGTCTTTTAGTTTTTTTGTTTTTACTTTTTTTTTATTTCGTTTTGCTTTGCTGTCCTTTCCCCTCCTCTTTCTTTCTTCTCTTTCTCCCACCCTCTCCCTCACTCTTCTCCTCTAACTTCCTCCCTCTCTCCTTCTTTCCTCATCCTCTCCTTCCCTCTTTATCCCTCCCCTTACCCCTTTCTCTCCATCCCTCCTTCCCTTCATCCATCTCCCTCACTCCCTCCCTCCCTTCCCTTCCATCTCCCTCCTTCCCTTCATCCATCTCCTCCCTCCCTCCCTTCCCTCCCTTCCTTCCATCCCCTCCGTCCCTCCCTCCCCTCCCTTCATCCATCGCCTTCATCCATCTCCCTCCCTCCCTCCCATTCAGACTCCAATAAGATCAACCCGGAGACAACCAAGATAGCACAGACTTGTCAAAAAAAAAAAAAAAAAAAAAAAAAACTCATAATTCACCTTCACGAAACGCATCCGATTCGCTGTACGAGTCGCGATAAACGTAAGTTATGGACGAGTTCTGGTTTTCGCGAGCGTCGGCGGTCCGTACTATCCGTTATGGGACGGGGCGGTATACGAAGCGGTGGTCGGAGGCGTGAGTTTTCGGGGTTTGTTGGGGTTCAATAGGAAATATGTTTGTGTTTGTTTGTTTGTTGTTTGTTTGTGGGTTTGTTTCGGTGTTTGTTTATTCTTTTGTGTTTGTTTGTTTGTTTGTTTTTGGTATATGTGTTGGATTCAAGAGGAAA